TAGCAACAAAGAACGGAGCAAGAGGAAGCTACACTGACTTCTGATCCGAGTCAAGCAGAAAAACACGGTAATATGCAGATCAATTTCCACATGGGTCAAGTTTCCAGTGATGCCAGAGGGCCTGATGCAAATGGCATCCTGCAGCTGAATCGAGAATGTGCCAGTCACAGTTTGGATGACATAAGTGTGGTCTGCAAAAAGTGCTCCAGACTGGGAAGAGAAATTCACAGTGTCGATGAGGAACTCAAGCTGGTATCAGCATACCCCTAGTTTCTGAAATCAATGCACCAGAAGTTTCAGATCTCTGTTTTACTGACAGATTCAACAACACAGTAGTATGATGTAGCTGCTTGGTCAGTTTGTTTCTCCTGTGTGTATTACAGGAAATATACAAGGCTGTGTTTGCAGCAGCATACTTTTCTCCAGGATTTGTTTAGGCTTTTATTTTAGCTATAAAAACTGTAGATTAAAGGCAGGAACCTGCTGACACAGTCCACCATACCTTATGTGCCACTTGTCCATGACAGGCTCTATGACTGTGATTTCCACCTTGACTTTCTCAACCATTCAATTGGATATTTCAACAATTCACAGTAGTTGTAGCAGCCTAATTAAAGGCATGCCCTAATTTCTTTGCTCGCCTTTTTTTTTTTTTTCCATTTTAGCACATGTTGATTGCTCTTATTATTCCAATTTTAGTTAATTATTTTCTTGACCCCATGTTAAAAAAGTAACGTATATCTCTTTTTGCTGAATTCGCAGAAGTCTCAGCAGAAGGCCTGGAAAAAGTCAGTCACTCAACTTGCATTCCTTCTGCTCTGATGTATAAAATGTGTAGAGGCAAATTTTTGGTTTGGTACGTGAATTCAAGTCAAGTTGCTGATTATTCTCGATCACTACTGGATGACATTTAATCCTGCCTTGCAAGGTTTCTACAGAACTCATGCCTCTATTGGTTTGTTTTGGTTCTAGCTCAAAGATCAAAACGCAAAATTTCATTCTTGTGCTCTCTTCTGAGGGACAGGCACTTGCAGGACAGGAAAAGCAGTATTCCACCACAGTTTTCACAAAGCAGAAATCCAACTTTAGCATACTACTAATCATGGCAGTTATCTTTCATATGTGAAAAAGGTAATATGGAATATATGCTATGGCTTATTTACTAATAAAGAGACATCAGACAACATAGGAATTTTAAGATCATTTAAAGGGAGTCTATATAAAGTGTATGACCTATCTACATCTCTGAAACTTTTTTTTTTTAAATCATGTAGTAGACAATAGATAATACACACTTCATAGCATAAAAAGAAATGGGAAAGATTAATACACAGCAGGCAAATGATCCTTTTTATTTTTTTAAAATTTCATGCTAGTCCACTAAACCTTTCCAAAGGGTCTGCACACTTAGTATGAATATGCAGTTGTGACGAACAGAATTTGTTTGAAAGTAATTAAGAACTCTGATAACTGTAATCCTGATCAGCACTTCTCCTTCACTTGTTTTAAGTGAAATAGAAGAAAAGAAAGTTTAAATTTTCTTTCTTGCACAAATGTTTCATTTCTTTATCTGAGAAAAAAAATGCCCATAACCTACATGAAACAGTGAAGAAATTGCTTTAAAGCAAAGACCACAGAATCCAAAAGCAACTTCTCCCTTTTTTTATCCAGTGCATGATTCTCATGCACTTATCTTAAGTTGACATTGCTCAGACAGCTTTCAAGTGCCTAGAGACTTCTAGGGCACTTGTTCTAAAAAGACATAAGTGGTCCCAACATATTTCTGCTAGCCTCCTGTCCATATCTCTGATATGCAGGTCACCTAAAGTGTTAAGGCAATTTGATCCAGCCCTCAGTGACAAGATATGCATCATTAAGAAAAAGAAGCATGTACTACAGATGGTATTTTCAAAGCATTTCAATTCGAAAGTAACAAAGTGCTTCTGGATATCTCAAGCTTCAAACTGTCACACTGAAATAGCGAGCATCGCTCCCACAAAGAACAGAGCATCACTCAGCACTTATGCAATCAGTGGAAAGATATTGCATCTATGCTTCTCCCTGTCGAGCAACCTGTTTGCCAGCTCATGTAATGCTCTACACGAGTGTTACGGCAGCTTGCTAGTGATCAGTGTCCCCTGTGTATGTGGAAAAAATAAAACCAGCACAGAGGTGCTTGTTTGTACTCATACTGGCCCACATTACTAGAGTAACCCTGATAAACATTAATGCAGTTAAATTAGTTATACCGCTCCAAGTGTGTCTTCACTACGCTTCTGAAATCTATTGTAACAAGCAAATTCAAGACAGCTGGACAACTCCAGGAACACTAATCAGTAATGCAAGTCAGAGCTCAGAGTTAGTCCCCCTGTCTGACTTCTTTCTAGAGCTTATAAAAAAGGGTTGGAAATGGTATGTGTAGTTAAATCAGGAATGCTTTCTCTCAGTCTATATTCAATTACTGATACAGAACAACAAAAAAAAAAATAGAGGGAAGAGTACCGAGGATAATGACCACCTTTCAAATCATAAGCATACAAAAAAATTGAGTTTGACAGAGTCATATTCATGGTAAGACTCAGAATTTATTAAAAATTGAAGATTTTGCTACCTTGCTATATAGAGATTTCTTTCCTTATAGGAAAAAGAATTAAAAATCAGGCATGAAACACTATTTAAAACCACCTCTTTTCACGCGGCATTTCTTTAACCAACTCAAAGGTCCAAAAACCATTCCACTGCGGTATGGCAGAAGCACATGGTGATGACAAGCTTTACCCTCTGAAGAATACCCTCCCCAGAGGGGCACGTTTCATTTAATTGGAAAAGTCTGGGGCCTGACTGAAGCAATAACATATGCAGCCTGTCATGTTTCCAACTAGAGAGCTCATTCTCACTGTGGTTTGAACATGAGCTTTCCTTCAGCTATCGTCACTGAATGTGTCATATTTTTCCATTAAGTTTTAGCCCACTGTTTGTATTTAATCCTGTTCTCCTTGGCAAGGCACACCTGTTTTTTAATTCTTAACCACAAATTTTCTAAGTGGTGTGATCATGTCACTAACTGACAACACGACAAACTTTTCAAAACTTCCAACAAGAACTGAGGACTTGCTTTGTTGATTACTGCACATCTAAACCAAAATTCAGTCTCTCTCTAAAGGTTTATAAACCGCTATACTAAAGGATGGTAGCATCACTCAAGCTAAGGTCAAGATACTGTTTTAACAGCCGATTTTCTAAGTGGCATGTAAAATACAATCAAACATGGGTTGTTCTGCAAGCAATTATAATTGCTTATTTGAAAAATCTGTGTACTATTAAAAAACCTAAATTTTATAGTCACAAAGCAGATTGAGAATAATCTGGATGCAACATTGCTTCTTAGTACCTATTTTAACAATGTGAATACCCCTAATTCCAGTTCCAATTTCAACAAACTGGATTAATTTTATCTGGTGTCTAGTGAATCCCTGTAAGGAAGAAACACCCAATACCGTGAAAGCATACCACGGAGAAAAGTTGGCGCTACAACATCATTTTCCTCAAGAAAAAGTAGGCAATGTTACTTTCTGGTAAAACAAACAAGCAAAAAAAGAACTTGCAGGGAGCCTGATGTCAAAGCAGACTGCAGCTCAGAATGGGATGTCACGGGTGAGTGAATACTGGCAGTAATACAGCCTTCCTTGTAGCAGCTTTCTGAGAATGTGTTACCTGTCTTAATTTGATCTAAGCCTCATTTTACAGAGGACTTCTTTCTGAATATTTTGTTTCACACGCATGTACACACATGCACATTTTGCATTCATTTTAACACCTAATATTACAAGGTGGCCAAATATGTACACGCTTATTCAGATTTTACTTTAGATGTATCATGAAGGGCGATACCATTTAATTAAGCAGAGATGACGGTACATTAAAAGCTCTACTAAATAGCAACACCAAAAGGATACCATGCCAGAGATGCTGCTGTTTACCTGACTGAATGCAGAGCTGATGTATCAACAAAGAAAAGCTGCTTTTTCCTCACTGTTAGCGCAGCTGAACAGATTATTGAACTTTAGTAAAAGATCCCAAGATAATATCAAGAACAACATACATTTCACACAAAAAAATTCACACACAAATTTCTGTTTTGCACAACAGTTCATCCAATCTACACAAACTAGGAGATGGGTACCTCTTGATTTCCCTTCTTTTGAGCTCCCTTGAAAATATTTGGGCTGGGTTTATCTGAAAATACAGGTGGGTTTTGAGGCGTGCAATTTTAGAGTGGCTGTATCCATATTTCATCAGCAGAAATCAAGGCATATATTGAACAATATTTTTCTCACTCCTACAGCCAAGAAGTGTGTAATGATAACATGGCTTGAGTTACTTGCCTCAAAAGGACATTTTTATTGATCTTTGTTTCTTTTTGCACATCCTCCTTTCCTGATGTCACCCCATCTTAATACTATCGTGCCGCACGAAATCCAGACAGAGTTTATAATGTGACTTAGACTATGTGCTTCAGTGCTTCTCAGATACCTGTATTTCTGGAACAAAGTAGTTTTAACACTGGTCTACCAGCCTGTACAGCAAGATTAGCTTGAAAATAAACTTTAGGAGGAGCAAGCATGTAACGTAAACTTAGATATCATGAGTATAAAAATATTTACGAATAGAAACACTGTTCTGCAAGTTGTACTATAGAATTTTCATCACTTCCATTTAACAGGAGATCCACTTAATAACTACTTCGAGTATTTTCTTTTTAAACCATCAAGGTTACTTTATATAAAGATGAGTATCGCCTTTCTCACAGAAAGTGACAGCATCTCACACTGTGTTTAAACACAACAAAACTCTCCTCTTCCTTTTAGTCACAGTTCAGTACAAGTAACCCCTCTCAGCTAACCCTGAATTTTCTCTTGCTTCTTTAGATGCTAGAGCTGAAAGCATAAGTACATAATACACAGAACGAAAAACAATGATGTATTTAAGCAAGGCCATACCTGAATACTCCTTCCATTTGGTCTTTGGTGTAGCCTTTTCCACTTTCACCTGCAGCAGATGCATTGCTCTCCTTCGTGCTATTGGGCTTACTTTGATCATTGCTACTGGCTGGTTTTCGGCAGTAAGCACCTCCCCCAGCAGTACTTCCATTCTTCATAATAGCTTCCAACAAAACTATAAAACAACAGTATATCATAGTATCATTATAGGCATCAGCAATTAAGTCAGGGCTCTCAAGTATCTTAAATGGGAGTGCCACATTGTAAAAGACTAGTTGCTACATACTCCTTCCTTATTGATCACCCCTTTGTACCACAAATGTTTCTGAAGCCAGTCTTGCAACTCCTTCTTATGGCGAAACTATGGAAAAGTGTTTCAAAATTAGTGGCTGGACGCCCCTCCACTTCTGCCAAGGTAATTTAATACTGGAGAGAATTTGTCCAGGTCTTTCATTTCTAGATGGTTTTTACAGGCACTGAACCCATTCTTTGGGGTGAAAACATTAGAATACCTGAATAAACAACTGTAAGTGGAAAAGAGGAACTAACGTAACGCTCTAAAGAACCTGCAAATTATTCCACACAGAGACCAAGCCCATGTCCAGCACATTTCAGTTGCTACAGTACATAGCTATTTGCAACCTGAGACAGTGGCCACAAACTGATGCTCTATACTTCTTCCAGGCAACACCAGCTGAAATTCAAACTACTGTTAAATGCCACAGATAAGTCAGGACCAGCCAACTACACCCAACTCTTGAGACCTGGATCTTGAAAACCAGCATGCTTTTCCTAGATCTTGAAATTCTCTTTCCTTCCATGTTCCAAAAGATCTCAAATTTAGCAGTTCTAGTAAATGATCAGATGCTAAGTTTTCTTTTTCTTTCTGGATATAAGCCTGCATTTTGGGGGTATCTGTCTTACCAATCAATCAGAAACAGTACCATTCTAACTTCAGGGACTGCACATGAAGCATAATGTGGATCAGACATTATTAAACAGTCTGTCTTTCCTGAAAAGAGATCCCTTCAGAGCAAGATGGCAAACTACACAGGCCAAATTTGTTTCATAAACAATTCAGAGTTACTATCTGCATAAAAAAATGCCTTAATAAAGATTTCCCAAATAAAAATGTCCCACTCACTGTGAAAACATGTTATAGCTTTACTGTTAAAAACACGTTTTCTTCTAGAAGCTAGTGAGAGGAAGCCTGAAGGATTCTCTCAAATCTAATAAAAACATTTCTCCTCTGACTAGCACGGTCTCTTTTAGAGCAGCAGAAAACTGGGATCCTACACATCCATAGCTTGTATCTCAGAGAAGCCCAGGAAAGAAAAGAAAGCAGAGCTTTGTTTAAAAGGAGAAGAACCACTTCCGTAAGATATGCTTCTTAAAACTCTCCAGTATTTGCTTTTACTTATTAATTCACTTATTGCCCACTGGCCAAAGCAGTCTGAAGTACTGCAGATGAATAGCTACACTTGATAAAGTCCTGAACGATAAAGTCAGGTGACTCCAGTGCCGGTCCTGTGCTTGTGCCTGCCTCAGCAAGATTCCTCAATTGATCAGATCAGGCTTTTTACTGCAGAAATAAAGAAAAGGCTAACATTTACATGTTGAGTTGTACATCGAGGGGATGTTTTCACAACCAATGAAATTAAGTTCTTGAAAACAGGAGAGCTATAGTTGCATTATGGATTATAGCTGAAGCACATATCCAAATACTTGCAACTGTTTATTCTAGTATCATCCATTACAGGAATTAAAGTTTTGAGGTAAATGAAGTAATAACTCCAGCAAGGTGACTGTGCCTGCTAATCAAGAACAGAGATTTAAACAGACAGTGCCCTCAGAATGAAGCATTTTCAGTCCAAATGTCCAGACAAGTGATAACAGGGGAAAAAAAATAAAATATTCTTTTTCTGTTCTTTGACGTTATCAGATATTTAATAATGGTGGTATATAGGATCCCATTGAACATGTGACCCTGACTTTACCCTCTAGAAATAATGCTTACTCAACAGTTTTACAAATCCCGCCTTTATATTGGTACTGCTCTAGAAACTCCCCCATCCCTGCGCTAACGCTTGGGCAAAATCAGTAGTAGAAACAGTAGAAATACAGTAGAAACAGAGGTGTAGACAACAGTTTGCATTTTTAATGCCCAGCATTTCTTTCACAGCAAGCTTAGCTGGTAAGTCTCTTCAGAATTGGTTTGGCTGCACTATACTTTCAACATTAATACTTCCTAATCACTTTCTCAGACCTCCCATCCCCATAATGGAGCTGCACTGCTGAGACGACAGTGCAGGATACTTGCAAATAAAAAAAATTAAAAAATAAAATCCTTAACTGTTAACTTCTTAAGATAGCAGGACACAGCACATACAAACATGCTATTGTTCTACACTGAAAAAGAAAACCGTGCAAAGGGTCTGGGCCATTGTTTCCTTCAAATAAAAGATACAGTTCAGATATTCAGAAGCAACTTTAACTCTTCCATGGTTGTAAAAACAGCTGTTAGAACTGTAGTACTAACAGCATAATAAAGAAAACTATCATTGTGCATCTAAGTATTTTAAAATAGAACATAAAAGGAACCAAAGACTTAATTTGTTAGCAGGTAAGACAACGAATCTTATCTCCAAATGTGTCTGAAGGCTCATTCAGCAGCAGGTAACACCATACAGAAGAGAAAGATCCTTGCACTGCATTTGATTCCATTATGCATTGAACATGACCCCCACTTCCACTAACGGAAGAACTGCTGAATTCAGAATTCATGCTAATGCAACACCCTAAAAAACTAAGCTCACATATACCCGAAAAGTTTGTTTTTAGAGGCAGCATCAGAAATAGCGCAAGAAACTCTGAAGCAGCACTGGAAAACAAAGCTGTCCTTAACATCATTTTCTGCCTTCAACTCCAAAAAGAATGGCACCTAAATTTGAAAAGGAGATCTTGTCCTTTGTTATCTTTAAATTCACTCTTACAAATCTTTTCCAGACAAGCAATTAGTTTCCATTCAGTTGCAAGATGAATCATTAGCGAAACTCATAATCAAACAATATTTTGAACAGCTGAATTGTAAAACAATTTTATAGCAAAGAGTGACGTCAACACAAACACTGCTACTATGAAGTCATCAGCTAAGTATCATTAAATAAGCACTGCCCTTACATTTCACACCAGTAAAGCCTTAAAATAGCACTGCTGCAGTCAGCGTATTTCAGGCAGAAGCTTTGTTTAGCAAAACTGAACTTCACTGATGACTGAACTAGTGCTGAATGCACTTTAAATGCAAGTGTCGCCAAAACCAAGCCACACATTGCACTGTTTTAGAGACAACAGTTAAAACCTGCTCCCTGTCCTTTTCCAATCTGCTATAATATCGTGAGGAGGAAGCTCCCATCAGCAAAAGACTCAGCCCTACCGTTCTCATTGCTTTTATCACTGATGGAACATCATTTGTGAAATGGTGGGCAATTGTTCCCAAAATGATACTAAAGATACAACCTATGAAGCATCTGTGACTTCAGTGACAAGTTGCTACGAACTACCTTCTAATACATATCCTGAAGAGAAAATGAGTGAGCACAGTGACAACTGGGGCTGCACCATGTTGTCCTATCACCATATAAACCCAACACATTACGACTATAAAATAAGAATTTGTGTTAGAACTAAGAGAGCTCACAAAACCTTAACTGTTTCCTTTTCTTGGGTATGTGCTACGACACATTTTTAATTATCCAATGAATTACTGTGGGGTTTTTTCCAAGCGGACCCCTGGCTTAATGTATCTAAAAGATGACAATGAGATAATGAAGCAGTAATTTTGCTTGTTCTTTGCCAGTGTAAAATTCCAGTTCTAATTTATTGCACACCTTCCAGTTCCAGTCCTGAAAAGAGGACATTCTGTGTCCTTGCAGCTTACTGCACTTTTAACAAGGCTATTTAAGTGCCACAAACTTAAAAAAAAAATAAAAAATTCAATGAGTTGCGCGTTGTTTTGGGAGGAAATGGCGCGAGTTGAAAAGAATTACCAATCTCCACAACTAGAAAACTGAAGCACAGGAACATTAAAACTTTACAGAGTCCCCTAATTTTTAAGTACCTAGATCAAATCAGGCCTAGGGCCTGATTTTTTTCAGTGGTATTAGGACATCTGCAATTCTCATTAGCTTCAGATGGAGCTTTAACTGCCCACCAGTTCCACAAATCAGGCCCTTGTTTCAAGCTGAATACCTGAAAAATGAAGCACAAACAATTAGCCATCACTAATGGAAACCGAGTGAAGTGACTTATTTAACATCACAGAGAAATTCTGTGAAGCATTTAGCTTCAGTACACAATTCCCCAGATTACAGTCCACTACCATAAACACAAGACCATCTTCTTTTCACTAGCTCTGTACCTCATTTGTGACATACTTTGCTCATTTCCACAGCGAATAAAGTAAGTGTCCTACAGACAATAGCCTAATTAGCCATCTATTTCTTGCACTGAGTACTTTACAATGGTGGCTATGTAGTAACAGTCCTACTTAAAAGAGAAAACCCCAAACATTCAGAACAAATCAGAGGGAGAATACTTTTTTTTTTTTCTCTGAGAGCTACTGTAACTCTTATCTTAGAGGTATAAGATGGTAATAAGAGATGTGAAGCAGAAAAAGGTATTCACTCTCTTTGGTGGAAGAAGCTGATTTGAAACCCTCAGCCTTCCTGCCCATTGACCAACACAGCTTCCAAAAAGTTGAAAGTGTTTTCACGCATGTCATCTTTTTAAGCCACAGAAATTTAGGTGAATATGGCAAACTTCTGCTTGTTTTTATTTCAGAGAAGTATCTAATAAGGCAAGAATATAAACAGTGCCACATTCTTGATCCAAAGCAATGGTTACCTTCTTCCAGGTGATTTACCAGCAACATCCATCCTGTCTTGCAGGAAAAAGAAAAACCCCCACACCCCAAAATCCTATATACTATATAAAAAAAAAAAAAAAAAAAGAATAGCACTGATGAGACCTTTGCTTCTTGATTCCATATAAAAAGTATTCAGGACACAAGACAGGACAGAAAACACTCACTGAATCTGCTCTCCTGACTAAAGGCTTCACTACAGTATAAAATACAACACGCAACACTTCCAGTCAGGATTTCACCCCAAAGTCATGTTCCAAAAATGGTAAATGCTGAGGCCTTTCAGCCAGTACAGAGCACTGAAATATCTCCTATTTCTTCCATAGCATAGACAACGTAAGCGAGAACCAGAGGAACGCAACAAGTCACTGCTGCGTTCAAAGGTATTTCGAGCCAACTTCTGACACTGCGTGACAGAAAGTCTCCAAGACAGGTAACACTGAAACCTTATTATTGCTTTCAAAAAATAATTTCTGAACACCTCTTGCTAGAAAGATGCTGATTATTTTTCAAGTTTTAGCACAGAAGTGTCTGAAGAGCCAATTAAGCCATAAGGGTAGCCACCTATCCTGGCGTTGTCTCCAGGAAAGTTAAAACCCATCTGCAATTCCTACGTAGCTACTGTGCAACCAAAAGGGAGAGGAAACCGAGAAACCCCAAACCACAAGTAAGCTGGAGGACGAGGACACTGCCCAGCCTGGAGCAGCTGCTCTTAGTGCAAGCTGTTAGGGAGGACTCATTCCCTATGACAGAAGAGAAGCCAACCCAGCCTGATTCGGCCTGGGGCCTGCGGTGTCCTGCTGTTAATCGGGTCTGAGCCTGGTCTGCGCGGCTACGCTTACATACCGATGGCTAAAAGGAGGGGGGGGAGATGCAGGCGAGGAGCCGGGCTGGCCCAGAGCGAACCCCTTTGGCGAGGAGGGAGGTAGCCCCGCTCCTGCTCCCCACCGCCCCACGCCAGAGGCGCGCACCGGCGGTGGAAATCCACC